CTATCTCCCCCTCCCCACCCCACCCACACACACACTAACCGTACTAAGTCGCAGTGTTGGGAATTGGTTGAAATCTCACAATTGATGATGAGTTCATCACCAACGAGTTATCATTGGAAAAAAATGGGTTTGCGTCATTTTTCAGATTTTCCTGTTCAGGTTGATATTGCAGATAACTAATTGATGACTAATATATCATGAACATAAAGTTCCCAGTGTCTTCAAGAAATATTTGCTCCAAAATCGCTTGTGTCCGATTATGAAAATCTTCGAATATTTCAATTAATTGGAACACCACTACTAAGTCAGGCATTTAAAAAAAAAACCTTCTTCCATTTTCTCTTTGGCAAATTGCAGTTCTATCTAACAACTAGCCATGACAAGGTGGACCAATAATGGGGATTCAAAATATAATGTTGTGTCGATGAATTTAGACCACATAATGATCTTGGTGCGGCATTTAAAATCTATATCATATAACAGAGTCCATTACTGAACAATATTTGACATCTAAGTTTAAATATAGTGTTACGCATGAATGCCAATATCATAATTAGTATATGTATTATAAAACACACAAAGGACACTGATGGTTAAGTCATGTGAAGAGTGATAATATGTCAGATAATAATTTCAGTGTCAGCTGTGAAACGCTTTGCTGTGACAAGGGAGGCAACTGTATTCTGGCACTATGGCCGCTGTTTCGCGTGCCTCCCTGGTTGTGGCGTCGAAAGTCCGTGACTTAGCTGCCACAGTTGGGCAGTTATTACCAAAAGTCGATGTTATTAACATGGAATTAGATGATGCAGGTACGTTGAAATTGTTAAATCGGAATATGTGACGACGTGAAACGAGCTAAATATAACTTTTCTGTAAGGCGGAAATGGAAGATTACTTGACATGGTTTGTTTAGGTCAAGGTCAGAAGAAGCGAAGGCGAGACGAAAGTGAACGTCGGAGATCTCAGATCATTTGCATACTGTGATATTGTATTCAACTGACCACACCAGTCGGTTGTAAAATAGTGAGGACCCACAAAATATGCTTTTGCTCTGATCGGTTCTGTATTCGAGATTACAATCAGGTTCGATCTAAAACAAATCCCCAGTGAGCGTGTAAGATAAGGTGGACTGGTTTCCCTATCCAAGACTGACTGACTGAGTTTGGTTTTACACCGCTTTTAGCAATATTCCAGCAACATCACGGCGGGGGACACATGAAATGGGCTTCACACATTGTACCCATGTGGGGATTCGAACCCGGGTCTATATGGCGTGACGAGCCAACGCTTTAACCACTAGGCTACCCCACCGCCCCGCCTAGCCTAGAGCTCTTGGGCTCCACGCCGCACATTCAGCAGTCGTAAGGGACCGTTCATAATTTATGGCCAGGAGGGGTGATGATGATTTTTATGTGCATGTACAATGTGAATGACAACACACCTCCCCCCCCCAAAGTAAGTGACCCCCACTGCATGCCATGTACAAAATCGATGCCCCCCCCGCGTTCCTTCCAATATTTTTTTAAAGCATAGTTTAAAAATATTTTTATGTACAAAATTGATGACCCCACTAGAAACATATGTATAAAATTGATGACCCCTACCTCCCATGAACAAAATGGGTGATCCCCCTAAAATCATCATCGCCCCCACCCCAAGCCATAAATTATGAACGGTCCCTAAGGAGGCGAAAGACTGGGCACCAGCCCTGTTGAAGCAAGATAGGCCAGGAGGAGTTACTCCCCTTGGTTACACTTTGCAAAACTGAGTACTTCAGTTTTCGTTTTGCTTCATTTGCAGTGTTATATTCACACCAACAAATATTGGCGAAACCGTCAAGGTATCTTACACATATGTTGTCAGCTGGTTAGAATTAATGAAAACAAGATGGTGCAAGTCCATGCACTACACATGGTGCTGACCAATGGAATTTGGGATCAGAGAGTATTCTGAACGTATTGTGTGTCTGATTTGGCTATGTGAGAAATGACATCAGTGGGCTAGTACTATAAAACTGACAAAAGGGTTGCAGCCATACACTGGGCATATATATTGCTGTAAATTCAATATACTTGAATGGTTCATCAACCCCCAAAACAACTTGTGTATTTAACCCAAGATATCACTTTTTGGTTGGTCTTAACTGGACAAAGAGTAAATTTGAAATGTGAAGTTGAATGTTGCAGCAATATTTGTAAGAAATACAGCTTTTTTTAGTAAAGGGGTTGGGGGGTGGGGTGCACAGTTAATTTTCACCTGTTTTCACGAGAGTTCCAACGGTCTTTACTAAACTTATTGTTTGATTGGCATTCTAGAAGTTGGTGAGTCAACAAACGAAACATACAACTTTATGGATGACAACTTCTGGTTTATTTGCATTGAGTGACGTTTCGATGTAGATTCTTACATCGTTATCATGCTAAAAGTGAGTACAACCAAATGGCGAGGAGCATATATACATGGTATGTTGTGACAAGCAGCAGATTAATGTTAACAACAGCATGTAATAGAAATAACAAGTTGTACATAATTGGAAGAGGCCAGTAGGGAACTAAAAACAACTAATAGCACTAGTGATGAAGCCAATAAACAGGGGGATTCAGTAGTAACAACAAATAGACAGGATGCTGTTGATGGTCTATAGTTTGATTAGTTCCTCATAGGCTGATGGGATGTAGTATCCTTGGTCACGGTTGATCAAAGGTTTGTGGCGGCGGATTTCAATAGCTTCAACACAAATAAACCAGAAGTTGTCATCCATAAAGTTGTATGTTTCCTTTATTAATAAACTTTCAGGACAAAAGGGGTTGGGGGGGACATCCACATATCCATCCCTCACTTTTTCTGAGTTCAATTCATCGCACATATATCATAAACTTTTCCACAGCCATCCAACATCCAACCACTGCTTACTTTTTACTCAAAACATACCCTTCTCACATAAGTTAAGATATAGACCAGCATCTAGGGATTACGAGTATTTCCCACCTTACATGTTTAACGTCTGTAATCACCAGGCTTGGTCCCAGAGAGCAGTCTGCGTCAAATCAGCGGTGTGGTCCTCTGTGACCCACAGGTGGTTATGCAACTTGCTGGCCAGAATGATCTCCCCTTGAAATGGGTTCAATCAACATGGGCAGGTAAGTATTCTGTTTGCACCACAAGTAAGTATGGTTGTACTCATATTAAATTCAAAATATCAGTTTATCTGTAGCACTCTCACGTGTCATGACAATCACAACACAAATGGAACTATTAAGCTGAATATTTACGTACTTGTTCCCACAAATCATTACACCCCAATTCTACAAGACGTTTCTATCTGGTTTTCAATATGGCCAATAAGGCATCCATATTGAAAAGTGTATTTATTGATATTATTCAGACATTTTTGTTAAAAATGTAGTAAAATTGTTATTTGTTCGGTTAGGGAAAACTGTATGTTGTACAAATGGTTGGGATCTGTGGTTTTGTTTGATAAGCACAACTTTTATTAAACTTTTCAAAAAATTTTCCACCGAGGCAAGATATGTATGATTTGGATGTGAATGCCTTGGGTTAACATTTTCAGGATTGCAGGATAAGAGTGACTTAAGTTTCACACCACTTTTAGCCATTTTCCACCAATATCATGGCTGGGGACACCAGAAACGGGCTTCACACAATATGCCCATATGGGAAGCGAACCCGGGTCTTCCGTGTGACGAGTGAATGCTTTAACCACCAGGCTACCCCACCACTCCTGCAGGATGAGAAAACTCATTCCAGCTCTCACTTCCCTGATCTGTAAAGTAGAATGAGGAATGACAATGATATTTTTACCCATAATGGGATGACCTCATGTCTTGGTTCGGCAGTGAGGTGAGATTGGGTTTAACGTCGTGCTTGAGAATATTTGTATGTGTATGTGCGGCTGCTTGTACTAGCCCAGACTTAAGCTGGTTTTATAGTGGTAGCCCACTGAGATACCATGCCGCAGTGAAGCATGAATACCCCACTCAGACACATTATACTGACTCTGAGCTGACCAGTCCTTGTTGTACCCATTAATGCCGAGCGCCAGGCAGGGACCAACAAGTACGGTGCCATATTTTAACGTCTTTTGGTATGACGCGGTCGGAGATCGAACCCGCGACCTTCGCTCTATATTTTTGAATGAAGGATGTTAGCTTGTACTCTGAAACATTGCGTTCCTCATAATGAATTCAACATCCTTAAAAATACTCCCTTTCATATGTGTCACTTTTAAATGCAATTTAAATTTTCATATTTTCAAATTGTTTTCAGGGGTTGAGGGTATCATGTCGGTTGTTCGAGAGAAAAAAGGTACTTTTGTTGTTGTTTATGCCCTAGAAATTTGTAAACAGTTTAATAATTTATGATTCACAATCTATTTGTAACATTTTATCACATTTATTAAATGTCTTGAAATATTTGTTCATCTACAAATACTGTGTGAGTAAGAAAGAAAAAATCAGCAGTGGATGGAATGGATGTCAAAGTAGATAAACCATGTATTTCAGATATCTAGTTTCTGACTGAAGATGGGCATCACAGATATATGAACATAACATAATATATAATTCATAAAAACGTTCTATGTCCTGCTTATTTACACCTTTCTCCGTTTTGATGCATAAATAGAAACTCATTCAATTCAGAAGTTTTCAGATTATAGCGACTTATTTGGTATGTTATACTCAGATCTGTAGTTATTCCAGAGCTCTGCTACCCAATAAATAAATATTTTTGGTGGTACAAGTGACCGGGCTGTGCAGAGTTGCATCCCTTAGATGTGTGTGAATCTTCTGATTGTAGGTTCAAATCTCTGATTTGTCTTGATTTTGAGGCTTTAAATACAATGATCCATATTTCACACAAGCATCACTTGGTGCTCAACTCCATCTTGCTATATTTCTGAAATACTGTTTATTTCCAAACCCAATGTTAAACCACATCCTACATATTTGGAACAGTATAATTTTAGTTTTATTCTTACAGATTCAGCCCGAAATTCCTCTTCTCTCGAACTGGAGACGGCTATGGTCAGCTTATAGGGGAGTATGTAATGCGGCTCATGTAATAGCTCATGAGAGAAGATTCAAAGAAATGTTCAAAGGCAATGAGTCAAGAATCTGGGATCGTGAGTATTATGATGAGAGAAACAGCGAAAATATTGAGATTTAGTTATTTAGGCCTAAAAATAATGTTGTGGTTCCGATTACCCGACCGACCCTTGAATTCGGATGCCAACCCTATTTTTTAAGCGATATGAATAAAATAACCTTTCAGATACCATTGTTTTTCCTGGCACCCGGCGGACATTGGTCATTCTGATGTGTTGGCCACAAGCTTGATTGAATAAACAATTACACATTGATAAATGTGTGTTATTAGTATGTAATTTACTTCTAAGAAAATGTAAACAATATTTCCTACCTACCCATCCAAAATTTTAAAAAGGTTTAATCGGAACAACATTTTTTAGACACGTGAAGGTCCGGGTTAGAATATTGATCTTCAGCAACCCTAGCTTGTCGTAAGAGGCGACTAGCAGAATTAGATGGTCAGGCTCACTGACTTTGTTGACACGTCATCGGTTCCCAATTGCGCAGATCGATGCTCATGCTGTTGATCACTGGATTGTTTGGTCAAGACTCGATTATTTAGAGACCGACGCCATATACATGTAGCTGGATTATTGCTGAGTGTGGCGTAAAACTAAACGCACTCACTCACAATATTTTTTATATATGGCCTTAGGGTCAATTGTATGGTCGAATGTGTCATTGTTGTGACGGCTATCGACGGGACTACTCTTTGTCTAGAGAGCCTGCATGTTTTCCCGGAGCTAGATGCTGGCACTTGATACCGATGTTACAGTTTTGTGAAGATGAAATATAACTGTAGTTGATACTCTGAATGACACGAAGGCTTGAAATTTGCATATTATGTGTCAGAGGAATATTTTTAGCAGTTACTTGTGCCATGTGATCTCCCCATTTCAGGTCAGTGTAGGGTTTGACACTACAGATCTCAAAATGAGTGGTGGTGTTCCTCCACATGGTGTTCAAAATGGAAAATGTTTTGTGTAAATGTTCACGCATGACAGTTTTAGGTTGCAGTTTCACCAGGACTTAGCTGCACCATAGTGCAACCGATACAACATGCTTTAGTAATAGATACAAGGGCTGCAGCGACTTCACTATTAGGCGATAATGATACATGAATACACAACGATTTTTTAGAAAGTGGTGAAGTGTAACATGTCTTATATTTGGGATTACCGTATATTACCGTAGATAAGCCGAATTTTGAGGACCAAAAAGGTCTGTAGAAGGGGTCGAAGCATATATGGGTTACGCTTTCGTCAAACTTTTTTTTCCAGGGTAAGAAAACAACATCATATCACTTGAGTGAACAAACAACAGAAGGCGACTTTCTCAGTTAAGTTGTACTTTTTGATGGGTTGAGTCCCACCTGGAATTTAAACCCACACACTCTCAGAGAACTAGTACTAGAATCTGTACTTCACTGAGAAAGTTTAATCCCACATATAATACATGTTAAATATGATACATTTCATTAAAGGCAAAATGTCACACATTTTTCGACAATATTTTGGCCTATATTATATTTATTGGGGCAAATGCACTCACTTTACCCTCCTATTGATGCAATTAAAGACTTACTATCCCTTACGACTTGCCTCCAATTGATGCTTGAAACTTTGGGGCAAACAGCTTCCAAACATAGAACACTTGCCATATGTGTGTAGCAGGGTGTGGAGTCATCCACAGATGACATTCTTACCTTGTCAGCTTGCTGATGGGGTTAACCTCTTTGGTCATGTGGGCAAGGCGTCCAACTTCGGATTAGAAGGTCAGTGGTTCGAATCCCACATGGGACTCGGAAATTTTATGGCCGCTACATATGGAATGTAAACAATTGCTTGGTACATCGAAAGCGGTTGCACGCGGTGTTGTCTGAGTTTGCCGAACTGGTTTCAATCACAAGTTAGTTATAGGATATTCATAAAGAGCGCTCCAAGGGACATAACTGTATGGGGTTTGCTTGAAATAATAATTGGCGGTAGAGAGTCGAGAGTCGATTAAATGCAACATTGTATAAATTCATTCAAAGTTTTTGATTTAATATTGCAATCTATATGAGTATTTTTTTTTAAATAAATAATATGGTAGCTTCCCTGAGGGCTGATAGTATTATTAGGAGAAATGCATTAGTATAAAATATATAGAGAAGTGTGGTGTGACATTGTGCCTTTAATATTGGGTAACTAATGCAATCAAATTCTGCTGCTGAAGTATCATTAATTAAATTCAGTGAAACAATGACAAAATAAATTCTTTGACATATTTTTGACCATGTTGACAGTGTTAGTTTATCACGACAATGACCATTGACCATATTACTGTCATATTACTATTGGGGCGGTGGGGTAGTCTAGTGGTTAAAGCGTTCGCTCGTCACGTCGAAGACCCGGGTTCGATTCCCCACATGGGTACAATGTGTGAAGCCCATTTCTGGTGTCCCCGTGCGTGATATTGCTGGAATATTGCTAAAAGCGGCGTAAAACCATACTCACTCACTCACTCATATTACTATTATATATTCACTATTATCCTGCATGGCTTGAATATATTCCATTTTGCACATTTTCTTTGATAATAACACCAAAATTCAATTAGAACACTTCTTTTTAAGAAATTCATGAACATGATTTGATTTTAGTGAGATTTGTCACATACATTGCCAAGTGGCGTTGAGGCACTGCTGTGATAGAGAAGCTCCGGTCTTGTGTTTGTTCGATGATTGTCAGTATGTTTTCATGTTTCTTGTTTTTGAAGACAGGTTCATTTTCTTTCACAGAAAATACAAGTATTTCCGGTCTTTGTCAAGTTTGACCATTGGGGTGCTGGGTCTAGGCCAGATTGGTACAGAAAGTATGTAGACGTGTAACAATGTTATCTCATTGTTGTGCACAGGGATTGTAGTGCTTGTGTGTGGTTGATGAAGGTAATACTGATAGTATTAATACTAGGTAGTAGTAGTAATGGTTGTCAAATATAGGGCAAGAGTGTGTAAGCTTATTTACCAAATTCACCATACACCTGCATAACCCCCTCCCCCCCCTCCTCTTACCAGACCTGCATACCCAACTTCTTCATACCAGCCTCTTCACACAAGACCTGCATACCAGTCTATTTCATGTAATCCTCCTTATACCAGACCTGCATACCAGCCTCCTCATACCACCCTTTTATATTTAATACTCAGTGTTCGGTCATATTCATTTGTTTGGAGGCTGTCATGTGTCTGTTTGACAGAAACATGTATGGATTCCATGGAACGTGTGATGATATATGATAATAACTTCAGGTACAAGAACTACTTTTGGAGAGTCATTCCCAAATGAAGTTAATCAATGTCTCCTGTTGGAACCTGATTATATTTTTCAAGCTGACAGTTTTATGTTGCATCTGATTTTGTCTCTCCTCTGCATTTTATAATAATTTTTTTTTAGATTTACATGATTAGAATTGTTATCAGGGATCTGAAATATGTAATACCAATTTCAAACTTATGTGTTTCATTTAACCTGCAGAAAACCCATGAAGATCCAGATTAGAATCGGTCTTCAACAACCCATGCTTGTCGTGAGAGGCGACTAATGGGATTGTTTTTCAGGCTTGCTGACTTGGTTGACACATGCCATTGTATCACAGTTGGTCATGCTGTTGATCACTGGATTGTCTGGTTCAGACCCGATTATTTTCGAACTGCTGCCATATAGCTGGAATATTGCTGTGTTAAACTAACAAGTAACCTGAAGAAAAGCATGCCTGACTGCCATTAACCAGCGTCATGTTGTAACCTACATTTCTGTACAGTTGCAACCCGTGAAGGTCCGGGGTAGAATAGGTATTCAGCCACCGATGCTTGCCACAAAAGGCGACTATGCTTGCCATAAAAGGCGACTATGCTTTTCGTAAGAGGCGACTCACGGGATTGGGTGGTCAGGCTCGCTGACTTGGTTGACACTGTTGATCACTGGATTGTCTTGTCCAGACTCAATTATTTACAGACCGCCGCCATATAGCTGGAATATTGCTGAGTGCGGCGTAAAACTAAACTCACTCACTCACTCTTTACAGTTTCCCGGATGTGTAAGGCTATGGGGATGACTGTATGGGGGATGGCCACTGGCCAGAAGAAAACTTGTCCCTACATTGACGAATTCAGGTATGTTGTCTTACTGAAACGTTTATTCTGTTTATGTGGTTAGTATGTTTATTCAACCCACACAGCAGGCCCAGTGCTGTTAAAGATATCATTTATTAGGTCAAACATTTAACTGTGGCTTCTTTGATGTGCATTTTAGAAGTTAAATTGATGAAGAATGATGACAATTTTATGGATATACAACTTCTTTTATTCTGTGAAAGGTGATATGTTTCGACATAGATTCTAATGTCATTGCTTGACAATGACATTAGAATCTATGTCAAAACGTTGCCTTTCACAGAATAAAAGAAGTTGTATTTCCATAAAACTTGTCATCAATTAACTGCGGGCAGCTCTTAGCAATCATTTTGTCAGCAAGATAGATTTATTCTGGTTGGAAGACTGAAAAAGTTTGGGGCTAGTCTCTCAAATGCTGCTTTATCCATCTACCTGTTAAATTTGATTAAGAATTAACGTTTTTGCTTTAGGTATAACCACTACTGTGATATACACAGAGTATTATTCAGTCTGATAAATATTACTTTGATAGAAACAAATAAGACTGTTTAATTTGAAAAGGAGTGTCAGTGAGCATGGGGATTCAGAAACTGATGAATTCTAGACTTGCTTCATTTCACATTGCAGAAAGGACCTGGAGGATGTGAAAATGATGTAATACAGGGACTGTGAGGGACTTGATATGCACAGCATGCATACTGGTGTTTACATGATGATGATGCTCATGCTGTCTATCACTGGTTTACTGACTTTACAATGTGTTCCATCCCCAGATGTACAGATGACCTCTCTGATCTGCTGTCTCACTGTGACTACATCTGCAACATCCTCCCCAGCACACCACTCACCCGGAACCTTCTGTCTGGAGAGGTCCTTGCGTGTTGTGCCCAGAGGGTGAGTCTTGTAACTGTTGCCTCACTCACACAGAACCTTCTGTCTGGGGAGGTCCTTGTGTGTTGTGCCCAAAGGCTGAGTCATGTCATAACTATTGCCTCACTCACACAGAACCTTCTGTCTGGGGAGGTCCTTGTGTGTTGTGCCCAAAGGCTGAGTCATGTCATAACTATTGCCTGCACACCCGGAACCTTCTGTCTGGGAAAGTCCTTGTGTGTTGTGCCCAAAGGCTGAGTCATGTCATAACTATTGCCTGCATACCTGGAACCTTCTGTCTGGGGAAGTCCTTGTGTGTTGTGCCCAAAGGCTAAGTCATGTCATAACTATTGCCTGCACAGCTGGAACCTTCTGTCTGGGGTGGTCCTTGTGTGTTGTGCCCAAAGGCTAAGTCATGTCATAACTATTGCCTGCACAGCTGGAACCTTCTGTCTGGGGTGGTCCTTGTGTGTTGTGCCCAAAGGCTGAGTCATGTCATAACTATTGCCTGCACACCTGGAACCTTCTGTCTGGGGAAGTCCTTGTGTGTTGTGCCCAAAGGCTAAGTCATGTCATAACTATTGCCTGCACACCTGGAACCTTCTGTCTGGGGTGGTCCTTGTGTGTTGTGCCCAAAGGCTAAGTCATGTCATAACTATTGCCTGCACAGCTGGAACCTTCTGTCTGGGGTGGTCCTTGTGTGTTGTGCCCAAAGGCTGAGTCATGTCATAACTATTGCCTGCACACCTGGAACCTTCTGTCTGGGGGAGGTCCTTGTGTGTTGTGCCCAAAGGCTGAGTCATGTCAGAACTATTACCTGCACACCTGGAACTTTCTGTCCTGGGTGGTCCTTGTGTGTTGTGCCCAAAGGCTGAGTCATGTCATAACTATTGCCTGCACACCCGGAACCTTCTGTCTGGGGTGGTCCTTGTGTGTTGTGCCCAAAGGGTGGGTTATGTCATAACTATTGCCTGCACACGTGGAACCTTCTGTCTGGGGAGGTCCTAGTGTGTTGTGCCCAAAGGGTGAGTCATGTCAGAACTATTACCTGCACACCTGGAACCTTCTGTCTGGGGAGGACCTTGTGTGTTGTGCCCAAAGGGTGAGTCAATGAGTCATGTCACCTAGTAATGCACCTGGTATCACCGTTTGATTTTAAAGGTACCTTTGAAAGCTGCTACTGAATCAGATTATAGATATGTTGTGCTTGGGACAGTCTGATGTGTGTGCACGTGGCTACAGCCAGTTTTTGAAACTGCAGCATGAAGGCCAGTGGGCACATGGAATTCCACAGTTGTGTAAATGAATAAATTAAAGTAACTGTTTTTCAATGAGCTGCTTTTTTTGATAAATGATGCTTGCACAGTGTGCATTTGCGTGTTGAGCAAATGTGCAGCAACCATATGAACATACTGTTGCCAATGTATATTATTATCATACAGAGTTGCTTATTCTTATTTGTGAATTACGTTTACTTTCAAATTGTCACAGAAAAGTGTCCTCATCAATGTGGGTCGAGGTGACATCATAGACGAAGATAGTCTCATCAATGCTCTTAACCAAGGCTGGCTCAGTGGAGCTGTACTGGACGTGTTTGCCAAAGAACCTCTTCCGGAAAGTAGTCCACTGTGGACTATGCCGAACGTTACCATCTCCCCGCATGTCTCTGGTCCAAGTCAAAGCACACAGGTATGGGTGACCTCTTGTGAATCTTAAGAGGCAGCTCTTGTTTGTTGTTTTATGCAGCACTTAGCAATACTCCAGGGCCTAGATTTTCGAAGCTCTCTTAACGCTAAGATAGTGAAGTAAGTTAATGTTAATGTATGGCACTTGACTATCTTAGCTAAAGAGCTTCGAAAATCTAGGCCCTGCTATATGGCTCTTGTTTGTAAATAAATGAATCTGGACCAGACAATCCAGTTATCAATTTCATGAATATTAGTCTACACAGGTAGGACACGATGACATGTGTCAACCAAGTCAGCGAGCCTGACCACGTGATTCCGTTTGTTGACTCTTAAGACAGGCATGGGTTACTGAAGACAAACTCTAAACCTGCACCTAATAGGATTGGGTGGTCAGTCTTTCGGACATTATGCTGGTTATTGTGTCCCCAATTCATAAGTCAGTGCTCGTTTGCTCATCATGCTGAAAGCACGCGTTTAATTGCCCACATTGGTACAATGTATGAAGCCCATTTCTGATGTCCTTAACAGTGATATTGCTGTTATATGCAATATTGCTTAAAGCGGCATAAAACCTAACTCACTCGTGATGCCAATCACTGGATTGTCTGACCAGAGTTCTTTAGCCTTGTGGTTAGCCCCAGGTTTGTTTCCCATGATACAACAATGCGACGCCCATGTCTGGTGTCCCCCTTCTTGATATTGCTGGAATATTGCTGGAATATTGCTAAAAGTGGTGTCACTAACTAAAGAAACTCTAGTATGGATGAGTATTATGTGGCCACAGATATACTCATCTCTGCCTGTATTGCAGGATCTAATATTGGGTTTTTGCTTGTCACCTGTAGTGTACAGTTTTGTACTCTGTTCCTAAATTACTGTACATGAATAAGGACTAAACAAAAAAAGTGAGGGATCATAACTATAATAGTGCTTTGCTCAGACTGAGGTACAGTTTCATAGAAAGATATACCCTAAAATTTTGATGATAAACATATATGGTAACTTGCCTGTGTTGTTTTTCAGACAGCAGAAGGATTTGTACAGAACTATCAACTGTTTTGTGAGGGAAGCCCCATAAAGTACCAGGTTGACTGGAATAAAGGATATTGATTTAAATGATTGCCAGGAATCACCAGGAATTTGGAAATTTTTAAATATTATATATAAGGATATATTGTGTTTGTTTGGATGTAAGGTGTAAAGAAGGAAATTGTTCTTAATATTTTTACGACATTTTTACACAAATGATGTTTTCCTTGACTGACAAAAGACTGAAATATGGAACTGGAAGAGAATTTTATCTTCCATGTATCTATGGCAACCAGATGATATCAACTGATAAGGCTGTCTTGGACATCCATTCAATAGAATTTGCATGTATAATCAGGCGTTCGTGGCGTTATCAGACCGCCTCCGTGGTGTAGTGGTTAGAGCGTCCGCCCGGAGAGGTGAAGGTTGCGGGTTTGATCCCCGGCCATATCATACCAAAAGACGCTCAGCATTAATGGGTACAACAAGGACTGGTCGGCTCGGAGTCAGTATAATGTGTCTGAGTGGCGTATTTATGTTTAACTGCCGTATGGTAACTCAGTGGGCTAGCACTATAAAACCAGCTTAAGCCTGGGCTAGTACAAGCAGCCACACATACACATACACACGCATGCACGTCCTGGTTATATGAGCGAAATATTCTCAAGTACGTTAAATCCCATTTCAACGCTACGACCAGTTTATTTATCACAGGATTACGAATGGCGTAGTGCTACGAACTGTTTGTGGGTCGAGCTCCAGCAATACACTTCGTCTCCCAGTGCTGCAGTAGGGTGTGTTCAACAATAAACCACACTATGGATTTATGTTTAAACGGCATGAATGTCTCATACTAATCTACTTGGAATATTGAACCAGATTTACATGTGTTATGTTTGTTACTGGACTATATTTTACAAATAAAATGATACCAGATTGGACTGATGTGTCTTTTGACGTTTGTTGTGATAGGTGGATTAAAGGTTTTGTCTAAATGACAGACTGCTTTAATGGAGTTAGTTGATTAATGTTTCTCAACTTTCTCCTGTCATTGATGGACGCTGATGAATTTTAAAAACATACACAAGATCATTATATTTCCCGTGATAAAACGGAAACATACACAAGATCATTATATTTCCAGTGATAAAACGGCAACATACACAAGATCAATATATTTCCAGTGATAAAACGGCAACATACACAAGATCATTTTATTTCCAGTGATAAAACGGCAACATACACAAGATCATTATATTTCCAGTGATAAAACGGCAACATACACAAGATCATTTTATTTCCAGTGATAAAACGGCAACATACACAAGATCATATTTCCAGTGATAAAAACGGCATTGCAGAAACTTGTTCAATCTTCTTAGAAAATTTATTCCATAGAATGTTCAGGGCAATTATACATGCCTTTTATGGCGCTGTTAATGTATACAACAAATATAGACATGTACACTGCTTACATATTTGCTTAGAAGATAGTCCAGGTGTCAACAGAAGCCACCTCCATGTCCCACTAGCCCATGAAATGTCTGAACTATTGAAACGGCTGTAAAATCTAATCACCCTTCACGGTACTTTCACCGGTCTTCGATGAAAAGTGGTAATTTGCTGTATTTAGACGTAAAACTAAATCTTGGACATTTGGCTGTGTTTTGTTTTAACTGATTAATATTAATTTTGTAGTTATATTTACACAATTAGACAGGAAATTGAGAATTCTGCGCCTCTGCCTAATTTTATAAGGAGTTAGGTCCAGTGCAATTATCGCACAAGGTCCACTTGCTGACCTTATAAAGATGTGTACATGTGTCTGACAGATAATCTCGGCATCCAGGGGGTTAATCCTCATTGTGCCTTGTCAGCTCTATATACCGTTTGAACCCGTGAAGGTCCGGGTTAGAATTGATCTTCAGTAACCCATGCTTGTAAGAGGCGACTAACGGGATCGGGTGGTCAGGCTCGCTGACTGGGTTGACACATGTCATCGTATCCCAGATGCGTAGGTCGATGCTCATGCTGTTGATCACTGGTTGCTTGTCCAGACTCGATTATTTACAGACCGCCGCTGGAATATTGCTGGGTGCGGAGTAAAACTAAACTGGCTCACTATATACCGTTTGAACAGTGTCGCACTGTGAAAACTTCAAGACGTCGCGCTTTTCAAAACGTATGCATTATATTTAACAATGTTACGTTAGTATATCTGCATAAAGTGCAACAAAATTATATAACGCTTATCTTCAACGACGTTTTTTTTCGAACAGTATTGTTTTTCTGAACAATGCAAAACGAATATGCACTGCCAAGTCATCACTGAAAATGCCGTTATTAGTAAAAGTTAGCTCCTTTTTCAAACAATCGCAATATAGAAGCACCCGACTGTGTCTTCGCTTGTTAAGGCAAATCAGCTCCCTTGTTTTAAACCTTGATGTCCAAAAATATATATTAGTCTGTCTCACAGTCCCTGAACCCCACTATTTTCCCTTCTATCCAACTCTTTTTGTAACGCACCTGGTGTCCCCTGCCGTGATATTGCTGGAATATCGCTGGACGTGGCGTAAAACCTCACTAACTAACAAGTTACGCAAACGCCCAAAATAAGGCAAGTCAAGATTTCCTGAGGTTCTGAATCTCCGATCTCACGGGGGCTCCTTCTGAATTCAGAGATTATTGTTTCCATCAAAAATTATATATTTTCCAAGATTAAGCGTTTGTGTGTGTGTGTGTGTGTATGATTGTAATGTCAAAACGAGTTTAAAATACCGAGTACATATCCCGATGTTTGTAACTTCAAAACAAAACTTTAGAGGTATATAGCCGCGATTAGTTTATAATTTGACTTTAAAAAGTTTAATACAATACAAATAGGAGTATCATTGATACAGATTGGCGTATGTAAGCCGATGAACAGAACATTTTAGTTTTAAAACGACTAAGCCGTTTCTCGAGGCTTTCAGCATAAGAATTCCTGCAATAAATAGATTTTCCGTCAACGGTAATGACCGATCGTGCTCAGAATGGGAAATAAACTGGGCCCTGTCTCATATCGTAATGTAAAAGCCTCGGCGCAAGTTGACGCGCAAAGGGAGCTGGCAATCAGTTGAATGGAAGGGGCTTGTCAGTGACGTCACTATATTATGACGTCATGTTATTGTCTCGCCCAGATTCGTTCAGACTGGGCGTGCATGTTTTAGATGTCAAATATATTTGTCTAAAATGGGCTGCAAACAGACCAAGGTTACACCTTTCAAGCAGACATCTCCCGAGGAGGCTCTGGCGGGCAAGATCAACTGCCCTCACGAGCTGTACTACGCCAAGTGTAAGGTGACACGGCCCACACCCCGCCTGTCAGGGGCGGAGATTCTTCAACAGCTACGAGATGAGGGCTTGGTCCCCGACCGTCAGTCCAGCGGAGGAGTGGCCTTCTCTGTCCCCGCCGTGGAGCGGATTGTTCCCAGTGGCAAAGCTCCCCGATGTCTGGAGCAAATCCCAGTGCGATGCTTCTACACCGCTGAGAGGAGGAGACAGAAGGCTGATCTCTTCCGAATAGACAGGTAAAACCTATGTGACGAAAGTCCTAAAATACTTAAACTATCATTATTACTAAAAGTACACTTATATTGATTTTGATATTGATCTAATTACCATATCCTTAAATTGTTCACAGGTTAGTGGAGCAAGTACAAAGGAAACAACTGGACAGAGAAATCAAGCACAAAGCTGTCAAGGACGAGAAGAAACGTCGCCAGTTCCTGAAGAAAATGAGGGCGGAGCATCAGCTCCAGATGAGGGAGGAGAAACTAAAGCAGCTGGAGGAAGAGCGGGCGGCGAAGAGGAAGAAGTCCGTGGAGAAGTAGACGAAGTGGGGCACGTTGATGATGGTGGTTGGGATGAAAATAACAGCGGGTAATGCAAATATGAATAAAACAAGCAAAAAAAGCAACTTTACCCGTGAAAAAGAAAAAGAACAAAAAGAGAAGCAACAGGTCAAGGGACACAGGAAGCCAGAAGATGGAACTGAAATGAATACAGTTCATTCGCTTGGAATGTTGGTATCTTAAAAATACTTTAGTTTTTGCTGTTAATTTATTTACAAGGCCTCTTTGATATGAGATGCTATAGTCGTATATGTCATAGATGAACATTTTAAATAACCTGTAAACACTTTCTACATTGTTATGTTGTTCAAATATAATGCAATAGCTGTATTGATTAAGTTAATAATAAAATGGTTTATGTAATCCATATCTTGTCTCTCTGTAATCTTGTTTCATAATGTCATATTTATTGTTATGCCCGCTGGATATCGGTGGAAAGAAACTGAAGTGGACCTGAAAGTTGGATTCATTTTTGGAGCATCAGCCATAACTTCACACTTTGAAAGTGGCCATGTCCTGTGCCAACTTGCAAACAGCTTTGTGATTATAGTCTGTTTGGGTCCAAATGATACCGACGAATCACAATCTAACTCCGAATCGGTTTATAATTAAACATTCATTTCAACGCAGAATGTAATGAAAACATCAGACCAACTCTGGAAAAAAGTTTCATAACGTTTGTCGCTAAAATAAAAAAAGCTACTTAACAAACTATCATCATTTTGTTTTGTTTTTCCGCGTTTTATCATGAAACGATTTGGGTGAGGGAGTAAGTTTAGTTTTACGCCGCACTCAGCAATATTCCAGCTATATGGCGGTGAACCGATTTGGAGTTGAACTGTGATTCATCGGCATCATTTTGACCCAAACATACTATAGGTTCGGCCAGATTGTAATTTATTGTGTCTTCCTGACTCTGACAGGATATATTGCGTGGATACAATACACGGTGAACTTCAGTATGGTTTGACGTTTAACATGGCACTGGCGATGGTGTGTAAATACTCGAATGCTGACCAGACAATACAATGACTGACAACAGGAGCATCGACCATACACATGCAATCAATCAAGTCACCGAATCTGAGCAGCAGATCAGTGATGTTCTGAAATCCTATCGGGTACACAATTTACTCGCCTCCCACTAACAAGGGAGTGAACACATTATCAGATTATTATAATTATATGGACAGAACTGGGAAAACAAACAAAAATATATCATGGTATAACAATAACTTGATATTAATTTCATCTAATAAGTCATATTCCTCATTTACTGTTATTTATGAACACGGCATGAAATAAAGTACTGTTTACTTACTTGCCAGTCCGTAGCTGAGTAGACAAGATTGAGATGACTGGCTGGGTGTCTCTCCTGTTTTTGTCCAGAACATTCACTCAGCCGTTAACGTCCTTGTCTTGCTCGTCAAACTCGTCTGCTTCCAGTTGTTCCTCAACATGCCTACCATACAAACGGTGAACAAATCATCAAAAATGAACTCATATACACCAAAACAACAAAAATCACCAAAACTGCAACCATGTCCTCTAAAAACCGAAACAATACATCTGTAATGGAAGACTAATCGTTTGAAATGGAAACAAAACTCGCGTATCAGCTACAAGAGCGCGCGAGAACGGTTGCCGAGCGTACAAAACGGCATTCATAGCATCCCAAGAGGGCAGTCATAGCATCCCGAAACGGCATACAAATCGTCAAAGATGACAGCGAGGGGAGACGAATAGGCTTTGGTACATAATGTTTTTCGTCACTATGAGTCTAATCTTGAAAATTTGATATCGGGATGTAGTGCATAAACCCCCCTATTGTAGTAAGCTTTAAACCTATGTCGATACTTCTCAGTGTCAGGCTTGCAATTCTGCACAATGTGGTCCCTCGTTCGACCGAATAGGATTTCTTGTCAACATGCCGTGCTACAGTTTCTCTTCAGTTTTGTAAATAAAGTATTCATAGCATCTCTTGTGTCAAATTCAGAGTTAGAGCAGTACCAAGTAATTTTATGGTATTTATGTCCATGAAATGTTCATATTATGTTTTAATACTTCTAAAAACGATGAAAGTCACAAATATTCAGCTTATATACAAGTATTATGCAGGGAGTTATTCTTCAGACTCATCGTGACAGGGGCACCAAACCTCAGAATGTCGACAAACACCACGAACTGGCTTGCAGAAACGTAAATGTGTTCTGTGCCGACATGTAGGGTGGGTACATTGTGCCCAGGTTGTATGTATCAATGAGGCACTAGCTCGAACCTCATCGGGTACAAATTGATCGAAGTTCTAAAAAAGCATTAAGTTTTCTATAAGAAATGGCCCTTACTTGTTTCCAAAGTTTTAAATTTTGATAAGGACATCACGTGTCTGGTCATGTGACATTTAGACCAGCAACGACCTTCAACAAGCAGAAGACAGATAGATGTGCTGTCAATTTACAACGTGTGAAATAAATACTGTTTACATTTTATTTGAGCTGATAAAGTTACATTATTGATCTAGTGTTAAAAAGTAGTTGTTTGCTGAATATGAGCTATTACCTATGTTTGGTAACTTGACACGAAACATTTATCGGTCCAAACGAATGAAAGCAATCTTCACCAGAAGATCAAAGCTGCAGATATCGTAAGTTATCGCGACAATTACCATTCAAAATGGGTGATCGAAGTTACATGTCGATCGAACTTGTGTGACTTGATATAGCGCGAGCAATGCAATCGTCGAAATCAAAAGATCAATCAGCTCCTTAATTGGAGCCACATATCTATCGAGTCGATAGTTAATGTTTCTTTCCCACCAGAGTCTATGTTGGAAGAAGTGTAACAAACTGTACCTTTTCCATAATCAAGGGAAGGGTAATAACGAAATGTGTCGTGGCTAGTATGGCCATGACCTTTCCGATAATTCAAGGGCAGGTAATCTGAGTTTATATGCCTAACAGGAGTGGTTTCCCTTTGTATATTATGCTTTTGCCCGTTGATTCTGCTTTGGGCGATGTGAATCTATCATATTTATAACATCGCAGAGGTCTGCCTGTATCTTCATTTTCTTCAATACTCAATTTTATACAAGTTAACGTACAAAACCAGACATGTTTCTTTCTCATTCTTGAATCTAAACTTTCGTCAGCGGAGGGTTTTTCATATATGTGTTTAAGATATATGTAATTCTACCACGACTTCAGTAAATGCTGGATTGTGATTGGTGAGTTACAGTCATTCAGAGGTATGCAATCACGTTATATACCTCTGATTTTCCAACACAATATGTATTTTTGGTAAAATCGTAATAACGCGGTTATGGTAGAATGGAGATAAACATACTACGCGCTTGGTTTTAAATCAAATTTCGAGCTATTATAAGTTCGTTATATACCTCTGATTTTCCAATACAGTATGTTTATCTCCAAAATATTAATAAAACAAGTAAACACACGAGACATTTGAAATTTATGTAAAATGTTATGAAGAGCAAACGAATTTCACATTTTGAAAAAAGATAATATACATCAATGCAGTGTTAATTAGGAGATAAGAGACTGTGTTGGAAGATCAGAAGTATATAACGAAATTATAATAGCTCGAAATTTGATAGAAACCGAACGCGTAGCCACTTCCATGGGAAGCTCAAACCAAAAGAATTACTGAAATTAATGGATCTTCAGACAAAGGGCGACATTTTCTGTCCCTCTCTGCCACCTGTATTTGCAACGGAAATGACCGATCGTGATCAGAATGTGAATTAAACTGGGCCCCCGTCTCCCATCTCGCAATGTAAGAGCCATGGCACAAGTTGAGCAACCAGCTAATGTGGAAAGGGGCTAGTTAGTGACGTCACTATATTATGACGTCATGTTATTGTCTCGCCCAGATTCGTGGAGACGGGGCGTGCATGTTATTGATGGGAATTATATTTGTCTAAAATGGGCTGCAAACAGACCAAGGTTACACCTTTCAAGCAGACATCTCCCGAGGAGGCTCTGACGGGCAAGATCAACTGCCCTCACGAGCTGTACTACGCCAAGTGTCAGGTGACACGACCCACACCCCGCCTGTCAGGGGCGGAAATTCTTCAACAGCTACGAGATGAGGGTTTGGTCCCCGACCGTCAGTCCAGCGGAGGAGTGGCCTTCTCTGTCCCCGCCGTGGAGGGGGTTGTTCCCAGTGGCAAAGCACCCCGACGTCTGGAGCAAATCCCAGTGCGATGCTTCTACACAGCTGAGAGGAGGAGACAGAAGGCTGATCTATTCCGAATAGACAGGTAAAACCTATGTGACGAAAAGTAAAAAAAAAATACTTTCAAAGTTTCAATTTACTAAAAGTACCTTAAGTTTATATTGATTTCATATTGATCTAATTAATTCTATATGACATGTTTACAGGTTGGTGGAGCAAGTTCAGCGGAAACAACTGGACAGGGAAATCAAGCACAAAGCTGTCAAGGACGAGAAGAAACGTCGCCAGTTCCTGAAGAAAATGAGGGCGGAACATCAGCTCCAGATGAGGGAGGAGAAACTAAAGAAACTGGAGGAAGAGCGGGCGGCGAAGAGGAAGAAGCCAGTGGAGAAGTAGACAAAGGGGACCGCGTTGATGATGATACCGGTTGGGATAAAAATAACAGCGGGTGATGCCAATATTAAAAAAAACAAAACAAGAAAAAAGCAACATCACCCGAAAAATAGGAACAAGAACAAAAAGAAACCCTGCCAAGCGAAACAGGAAGCCAGCAGATGGAGCTGAAATGAATACAGTTCGTTCACTTAGAATGTTGATATCTTAAAATACTATAGTTTTTTGTCGAACTGATCACTTATTTACAAGGCCTCTTAATATGACATGTCATGATCGTATAAGAGAGGGATGCTCAAGTATAAACATTTGGAATAACCTATAAACACTTTCTATATTTGTTATGTTGTTGTTATGTTATATAATGGTTGTTTTCTTTTAGCAAATAAATCAATGGTTTATGTAATCCATATCTTGTCTGCAATCCTGTTTCATAATGTTAGATTTATTGTAATGAGTGAGTGAGTGAGTTTGGTTTTACGCCGCTTTTAGCAATAGTCCATCAGGATCACGGCGTGGGACACCAGAAATGGGCTTCACACATTGTACCCATGTGGGGAATCGAACCTGGGTCTTCGGCGTGACGAGCGAGCGCTTTAACCACTAGGCTACCCCACCGCCCCTTTATTGTTATGTCCGCTGGACATTGTTTTACAAACTGAAGGTTGGGTTCATATCCGAAGCATCAGCCATGAGGTCACATGGGTTGAAGTTCGAGGTGTAAATAGTCGACTCTGGAAAATCCAAAATCTCATATCAGAACACAACGAAATTGGCAATTTTCTTACCCGAGATTTGTTGTGATGGATCCGTGCAATGTCTTTGTCAATCGTCCTGTGACGTCCGGGGGTTGAATACCCCACGACTTGATTATCTGAAACATACATGTACTTGGTGTCTTATGCAGAAACTTGCTGTAAACGAGCCAATGTGTCTTAAGCCAGCCTCTGTGTGCTTCTCTGTTTCCTAGGTCTCCTTACCTGGATTTCTGAGATGTGGTTGGCTAAGCCCTGAGTGATAAAAAAACAAAACAACCCTTATCCTTGCCCCCTCACCAAAAAAGTAGGTACTAACTAAAAAGTCCGTCTTTCGTCATTTACATTTATTCAAAATTGGTTCAGAAATCGATCTGGGTCAATTAAAAACTATTACCAAGTGATCTAAATTATTTATTTTCATAAGAAATATTCTTAATTTTTTGCTAATATTTCCTTTTTCCTTTGAGGTTGGATATCAGACTGACTGACTGACTAAGTTTGGTTTTACGCCGCTTTTAGCAATATTCCAGCAACATCACGGCTGGGGACACCAGAAACGGGCTTCACACATTGTACCCATGTGGGGATTCGAACCCGGGTGTTTGGCGTGACGAGCCAACGCTTTAACCACTAGTCTACCCCATCGCCCTGAGGTTGGATATCAGAAACACAAAGAAATACCGAGACATTCGCCACTGTTGTTAAACTCAGTACTCGGCCATATGATTGATGTTTGTTGTTTAACATGACACCAACATCTTATGATCAACATCATGATCAACGATCTTCGGAATTAGAATACGATAAAATGCGAGCATGACCACCCGATCCCCTTAGTCACTTCTTACGACAGGAATGGGTTACTGAAGATCAATTCTAACCCGGATCTTCAAGGGTTGCATTGCTCTTCATCCGCCTGTCTGGTCTAAACCGGTTCTTCGTGGGTTCGAAGAGGGAGGTATGCAGGTTACGAGGGCGAACATATCGGGGTTCATATTTGTCATTCGATGCCCTAGGGCAAAATATCATGGTCATGGTGACGTGAAGTCATGAACAATGCTATGACGTCACGTTTCTTCTGTGACGTTCCGTTCTACATGCGGCAACCGCGGGTAGCCAGCCTATGTTTGAAAGTAGATTTGGGTTTATTTTCCTCAATTTGACGACTTCGGTAATAAACAGAATATTATAATCATGCCCATGTCATACTATGTTTACGACACTCGTGCCTAAATATCGGTATATCCGTCGCTCTCGCTCGGGAAATACCAAAATTTAGGCACTCGTGTCTTAAACATAGTATGACATGAAATACTCATATAATATCCTCTATATATTATCATCTTCACCAACCCCACACATCAGCACTGCACCACAGCATTCATTGAGATAACATGTGTACATACTTTCTGTACCAGTCTGGCCAAGACCCAGTCAAACTTGACAAAGACCGGGAATACTTGTAACTTCTGTGAAAGAAAAGACCTCTTACGACAAGCATGGCCCCGGGTTACTGAAGACTTATTCCAAACGGGGCGTGTCAGATTTTAACTGTATGATGGCGGTCTGAACATAATCGAGTCTGAGATCGAGTCTGAGATCGAGTCTGACAGTTCAGTGATTGCCATCATGAGCATCGATCTACGCAATTGTGATACCATGACATGCATCGCAGAGACTGAACACCTGATCCCGTTCGTCGAATCTTACAAGCATGACTAATTCGTCCGACTTGGATCTTCAGGCGGATAATTGACAAGTCGGGATAATATATTCACTATTGAATATGCAAAAAGCAAACATTTTGATTCCATTCACATAACCAGAGCGATCTGCTAAGTTGTATTTACACAAGTTTAAAAGTACAGCTGGCTTGTTAACTGAAAATAGGTGTTGGTTCATGTAAACTTGTCCTTGCGAAATATTTCCTGACGACATAATGAGAGTCTTTATCACGCAGGGCTTTGTCAGATTACGTGACCAGACGTATTGGTGAACACCGTCGAGCAGAAACATCTCCGTGTATAGCTGGTTCTATTCATAGTCTGATATGAGGACATATACAACGGGTGGATTGTTGACGGAGGTACCCTGTACTCGGTACGTGCAAAGGTAACACCACCTGTCACCAGGACAATGTGTCTGGTGTGGTGTGGCGGTGTGGTGTGTGGGGAGACGGGGTGTGTGGGTGTGGGTAGGACTGAGTGTTGTGTGGTGGATGGGTGTGCGGTGAGGGGTGACGGGGTGTGGTGTGGTGGGCGGGTGTGGGGAGACGGTGTGGTGGTGGGGAGAGGGGGTGTGGTGTGGTGAGGTGGGGGTATTGGGGAGACGGTTGTGGTGTGATGGTGGGGTATTGGGAGACTGTTGTGGTGTGATGGTGGGGTGTGGGGAGACGGGGTGATAGGTGTGGGGAGAGGGGGTGTGGGGTATTGGGAGACGATTGTGGTGTGGTGGTTGGGTGTGGGGAGAGGGGGTGTGGGGACGTGGCGTGGTGACATCTTGTGATGACCTGGTGTGTTAATGTGGTGGGGTGACCTGGTGTGTTAATGTGGTGGGGTGACCTGGTGTGTTAATGTGGTCGGGTGACGTTGTGTGTTAATGTGGTGGGGTGACGTTGTGTGTTAATGTGGTTTTGTGACTTGACGTGCACGTGGCGTGGTGACGTGGCACATTGACGCGATATTGGTATTTTCGGTATCACGGTCGGGATAGGGTGCACTGAAAACAAATGTCTGTCGTATTAAATCCTAAATAGCCATAAAACAGCTGATACACCTCAGTCACACAATACAGTTCATACATACATGTTGATTTCTAATTGATAGAGCATCTTCAATTCAAATGGCTAACTTACGAACAATATCAGTGTTGACAGACTTCATCAACCGTCATAAATAGTTGGAAGCATGTAAGGTTACACACTCACTCTGATTTTCATGCTGACGTGAAATATTATAGAAAATCATTTGTGGACACGTGAATGTCATGACCGTGAATATCATGACGGCGAATATCATGACGGTGAATATCATGACGGCGAATATCATGATGGTGAATATCATGATGGTGAATATCATGACAGCGAATATCATGACGGTGAATATGACAGTGAGTATCATGACAATAATGAATACCATGACAGTGAATATCATGACAGTGAATTTCATGACGGTGAATATCATGATGGCGAATATCATGACGGTGAATATCATGACAGTGAATATCATGACAGTGAAAATCATGACGGCTAATATCATTCATGACGGCGAATATCATGACAATGAATATCATGACGGCGAATATCAGTCATGACGGCGAATATCATGACAGCGAATATCATGACAGTGAATATCATGACAGTGAATATCATGACGGTGAATATCATGACAGTGAATATCATGACGGCGAATATCATGACAGTGAATATCATGACGGCGAATATCATGACAGCGAATATCATGACGGTGAATATCATGAAAGTGAATATCATGACGGCGAATATCATGACAGCGAATATCATGATGGTGAATATCATGATGGCGAATATCATGACGGCGAATACCATGACGGTGAATATCATGATGGCGAATATCATGACAGTGAATATCATGACAGTGAATATCATTACAGCGAATATCATGATGGTGAATATCATGATGGCGAATATCATGACGGCGAATACCATGACGGTGAATATCATGATGGCGAATATCATGACAGTGAATATCATGACAGCGAATATCATGACAGTGAATATCATGCCAGCGAATATCGTGACGGTGAATATGACAGTGAGTATCATGACAATAATGAATACCATGACAGTGAATATCATGCCAGCGAATATCGTGACGGTGAATATGACAGTCAGTATCATGACAATAATGAATACCATGACAGTGAATAACATGCCAGTGAACATCATGACAGTGTCATAGTGTTGAACATGTTGAACAGGTAAATGTCATATCGGTAAATTTGAAATAATGGTGAACATATGATTGTGACCATGTCATAAGCCTGAATATGCCAAACTGGTATATATGTCAAACTGGTATGTATGCCAAACTGGTAGATATGTCATACCAATGAACACCAGCCGGGAATTTTGTTACAATATGCAAGGCCTGAATATAAGTACTGAATTCACTAGGTTCACTTTGCAACTGAATACACCAAGGTAATACCACCAAATACATCCCTTAGCTTCAAACAAAATGAAGTTACGAATATTCATGTCCACTTGATAATAACAGTACATAATATGAACCACTATTTCATTCACAATCCCAGGAGCGATTTCGAATGTCAAGGTACATTTAAGTGGTTGTAAATAGATGCCATCAAAGGTAGTTCGCGTTGACATTCATACCTTATTGTGAACGACATTTACGCATCGGTGAATCGGGGGAAAAGGTAACTCGTAGATCAGCTTAGGGCTTAAACACTTATCCCACCAGAAAACATTTTTTTCTCAATACGACTCCTCAACCGTAATCGATCGATGCAATATGACTAGAGTCAATTTCTGTTGAAATCCAGCCATTTATCGCTTGAATCTGTAAACATTAGGAAGGACGGGTGGCAAGGATGGGGGTAATGGGCGATGGGAGGGAAGGAGTGTCGGTCGGAGGGGCTGGTGGAGAGAACATGGATAGGAGATGGGGTCATGAGTGAGAGTGTGTGTGGCTGTGTGAGGGTTGGAGGGTGGGGGGTATTAAAGGAGTGGGGAGAGTGGTGCAGGGGAGTTTGGGGTTCGGGGTAGGGGGTATGAGTGGCACAGTTGTGGGGAGTAGTTACGGGCTGATTACGTAACTGAATCCTGTGCGACTCTTTTTCGTGTTTCTCATATGGACAAACCACAGACTGGGTGTGAATTCCTTTGTGTGTGGTCCGTCGTTTCATTATATTTAGAGTGAGTCAGTTTAGTTTTACGCCGCACTCACCACTATTCCAGCTATATGGCGGCGGTCTGTACATAATCGAGTCTGGACCAGACAATCCAGTGATCAACAGCATGAGCATCGATCTGCGCAAATGGGAACCGATGATATGTGTCAGCCAAGCCAGCGAGCCTGACCACCCGATCCCGTTAGTCGCCTCTTACGACAAGCATGGGTTACTGAAGATCAATATTCTAACGAGGATCTTCATGGGTTCATTATTTTTAGAAGCTTGCAATGATTTCAGAAGAAAAAAAGATTTAAGGTGTCATGAAATATTAAATACTCTGGTTGTAAAATATACTGGAACTATTTATCGTTGTCGTCGCACTGTATTTACACCGATAGATAAACTACTTATGTCAAAGACAAAAGTATGTGTGTCACAGTGTGTACTTCACAAGAGAATGTATACTGAGAAACGGAAACCATGAATATTTTAACAGTGAATACGGAACACACAATTTCATAAAAATACGCACTAAAATATTCATGATCCTTACAGATTTTTTAAAGACATTCTTCGACTGCATCGAATAACTAGTATTGTTCCCCACTGCAAGTTAGTTTAGTTTTACACCGCCTTTAGCAATATTCCAGCAATATCACGGCGGGGGACACCAGGAATGGGCATCACACATTGTACCCAAAGCGAACCCGGGTCTTCGGCGTGACGAACGAACGCTTTAACCACCCAGTCCAACCCCCTCCCCACTACGAACGTGTGCTCAAATGGATGTACACATGTAATTACATAAACTCCATCCAGTATCTCGTTTCCAACGAGAGCTCAACTGCTCAATGACATCTCTAGGCGTTGTGGCAGTTTCATGATAAGGTCAACTTTTAATAAAATAAATATCAGATCAATTGTTATTAATCTCTTAAACACCCCACCCTTTCTTACACCCCACCCCTCTATGACGTCATGGTAAAAACTTGGGATGGTGGCTGTTCAGGTGCATAACCTAAAGGTCATTCGAATTTACTCTTGATACTGAGTTGGGCATTGTTGAATAATAAAGTTTACTGTTCACATTGAGAAAACTATCAACATGTCAATAAATGCCAGACAACACATCACCGTGAAGACATCAGCGGCATGTAAACACATGTATATTTATATAGCCTTAAATCAACCCGCAATGATCTCATTACTGGACTTCACCACACCCACGGAACAGCCTGAGGTCCTTTCCCTCTGCTCCGCCACATATTTGCACTGATCACAAGCAAAGACGAGACAGTTACCCAGTATTAGCTGACTGGTTGACAATACAGGGTGGCGTCGCATCCGGCTACCCGTTTGTTGACGGTATCTATATACAGTTACACTAGGCCACAACGTTATTTAGGGCAAACCTATTCGCCTACAGTTAGGTGCGGTTGAGAAATGAATGAACACTTCGGTACACAACCGTGAGGTGTGGTCACTTGGATATTAGCTACACGAGGAACAGTTTAATACATTTAATCCATTTGTGTCATAAAAGGTAAGATAATCACTGAAAATGTTACAGTAGCTAGTTGAATGTAACTTTCGATGTTCAATAAGAGATATATCGATATTTGTTTAATATCCTTTAACTTACTCAGGAAATTTCGATTCTTGTTGATATATTCGACAATGTAAGCGCTTAATTCACATGTGATTCAGTTCTGATTCAGTTGAATTAAGGGTATATATACTTTATATTATATATTATTTTATATATTCATCATTCATAGCCAGAACAATTTACCATTTTGCTAAACAGTCAATGATTTGACCAAGTAATTTGATAATTTCCATTCCTGTAACGAATTCAATAGTCTACAAGTATGGATTGAATCGCTATGTTTAATCGATCATGGCAGATTAACGACATTAATAGGAAAGGATAGGGTGTTCTTTAAATTTTCTTGTTCGGTATATATGGTTCGAATACTTGACCCAATAACCTCACTCTTTGAACGATCACGCTCAGAGCTGTCACTGCTGTCACTGCTGTCATTGAGAACGTTGTCGCTGACGACGCTGACACAGTGAAGTTAAGCACTGGATTGTAAAAGGTTATGAAAGAGTATATTATGTTGTAACGCATGCCAGTCTTTGACTGGAATATTGCCTGGTACCACAGATTCAGTTGCGCTGAACAGACGCGGCACCGGTTGAATATTTCAAACGAGGCTGTTAAAATGGCGTGATCCGAAATGTAGATCTCCTTTCAAACACGGATTAAGTATTCTGTGAATTTACTACTGTCCATGGTCAGGTAAGGTGTGAGCATAATACCCTAAGCTGTCATTCTAGCACACAACGTGGTTTATCACAACGAGTTTTATAGCGTACCTTTAATTCAAAATATATTTTATTTTTTAAAGTAGGGCAGCAGAAGAACTCGTTTTCATGGCGGTATGTCCCGTACTGATTAATGTCGCTAGAAAAAACCTGACTAAACAATCAGGATCAGTAAACGAACTGAACTAACCACTTCTATATTTCCCGTGAGAATATACTGGGTTCATAGCTGCAGTCAATAGGAACGATTACTCGCAGTTTTATTCATGTGTTGTGATCACCGACACATGTAGCTGATTGGTCGTTACCGAAGATGTTGACACCCTGATGACATTTTTTCTTTACGTTTAGTGTATGATTTTTCGTGACATTTTATCTTTTCCAAATGGGTTTACATTTTGGTTGAAACTGATTTAAAATGTTGACATAATAAGAATTTGTTTCGTAGTTTACGAGTGAGTAAGCGAGCGAGTGAGTTTAGATTTACGCCGCCTTTGTAGCAATATTCCAACGATATCACGGCGGGGGACAGGAATGGGCTTCACATATTATGCCCATGTGGGAATCGAACCCGGGTCGTCTGCGTGACGAGCGATCGCCTTAACCACTAAGCTACCCCACCGCCCTGCACGTTTACGAAGTAAACATACTTTAAAATCACCCTCGCCAGTCCAGTGAATTCAAATTTGGATCTCCATCTTTTTTTGATAACTATCATGAACCCATTCCGCATTAAAGTTTCATTTCCAGGTAGATTCTAAAAATAAAACTTGTCAAAATAAATAATTCACGAACAAGAAAAGAGGGTGCTGGACACGGGAACTATGGTTGTGGTGACGTCACTTCCGGAACGTAACTTCGGTAGCGAACGGGTCAGTATTTTATTATAACAGAATGCAGATATAACACACTGAGTTAGTGAGTTGGGTTCTACGCTGATTTTAGCAATATCACGACGGGGACACCAGGAATGGGCTTTACACATTGTACCCATGTGGGGAATCGAACCCGGGTCTCTGGGTTCTCTAGGCTACCCCACCGCCCCCGACAGGACAGGAGGCGGCGTCTTCAACACGTTTGTCTAACAGTATAAATACGTTGGCAAAATTAATATCAATTATATTTCATTATCGAACCAGGGTATTTGCGTGACGAGTGAACGCTGTAACCACTATAGGCTCCCCACCTCCCGTGTGAAAAAGAGGTGAGGTGAAATTGGGTTTAACGTCGTGCTTGAGAATATTTCGCTCATATGACGACGTGCATGCGTGTTGTATGTATGTACGGCTGCTTGTACTAGCCCAGACGTAAGCTGGTTTTATAGTGCTAGCCCACTGAGATACCATGCCGCAGTGAAGCATGAATACCCACACTCAGACACATTATACTGACTCCGAGCCGACCAGTCCTTGTTGTACCCATTAATGCCGAACGCCAGGCAGGGGACCAACAAGTACCATATTTTAACGTCTTTTGGTATGACGCGGTCGGGGATCGAACCCGCGACCTTCCGCTCTCCGGGCGGACGCTCTAACCACTACACCACGGAGGCTTTCCCGTGTGAAAAAGAAATAGCAAAACATTACGGTGCGTCATAGGATGTCAGTTAACCAGTTTAATCGCCATTACATGTATTCAGCATCCATTCAGTGAGTGAGTGAGTTGTGTTTTACGCTGCTTTGAGCAATATTCCAGAAATATCACGGCGACGGACACCAGAAATGGGCTTCACACGTTGTACCCATGTGGAAATCGAACCCGGATCTTCAGCGTGACGAGCGAACGCTTTCACCACTGGGCTACCCCACCGCCCCTCATCCATTCAGCTTAAACGCATTAGATTCGCTCAACCAATGAACACGCATTTGGTGTTGATCTTTATTCAATGGAATGTTTTGGTGTCAAATGCATCATGTAGGGATTACCATTCATATGTACTATTAAATTCAAGATTATTAACCCTTTTTTTAAAATTCAGAGAAAGTGCATGTCATGCCACCTTTAGCTAAATATAAACATAAATCAGTTTAAATGTTTATTTACCGCCAAACAGCTGTGAAAACGAAGGGTAACAATTGGCCACAGACACACCCAAGATGTTATTATGTCATTATTATTATGTTATTACATTCCCCGACAAGACTTAACACCCGAGCCACGCCTTTATCTCGAATACATTCTTGAGCTGTTTCAGTAAATGTTTTGAAACATATCTTTCTTTATTTGAATTCAATTTAACGAGAGCTTCTTTAGGGCATTAGCGGATAACAAACGTTACCGGTGCATGGTGAATATTGAGTCCCGTTACCTTCAAGAACAGGTGTGGATAACTGAAGGGATTGTCGTTAAAATTGATATGAATATTATTTCTGTTCGGCCATGCTAAATGTGCTGTCATTTTCGATCGACAGGGCGAAACAAACACATGGGTTTTCTTTTGATTGCTCTGCGTGTCACATCAACACTGAATAGTTTTGACGACAGTACCGATTTAATTTATGAGCATCGGTTAAAATTCACACGTGAGACTTTTCTGCAAAACGCACAAAGCTTGCTTATTCTGATGGTTTGCGATGTTTTATAATGATGGTTTAGGATTATTATGCTCCAAGTGTACATTCACAAACCTACCGGGTACCCTTTCCCTGCTGGAAGATCAGGGGCGGATCTAGAACAAAGTCACTTTCCCCCCAAAAAACTTGAAATGAACAACAAATTATACTCGAGAAATGAGATGTGTTTTGAATATGAACCTAATTTGAATACATCTTGAACAATTTATGATATGTTCTGAATGTAGAACGGCTTTAGATTGTGCGGTATCATATCACATGCCCATGCTCATGCTATCAACCACTAGTTTGTCTGGCCGTGCACCCATTCTCACAAATGTATCTTGACCGTTAATAATATTTCAACCATGAGATCTGAAGCCTACACCACCGCAAAAAGGCTCTCCTTTACTGTTATAGTAGAGTGAGTGAGTTTAGCTTTACGCCGCACTCAGCAATATTCCAGCTATATGGCGGCGGTCTGTAAATAATCGAGTATGGACCAGACGACCCAGTGATCAACAGCATGATCATCGATCTACGCAACTGGAACACGATGACGTGAGTCAACCAAGTCAGCGAGTCTGACCACCTGATCACGTCAGTCGCCTCTTTAGACAAGCATGGGTTACTGAAGATCGGTTCTTACCAGGATCTTTACGGATCTATTATGGTAGATGATTGTAGAATAACATTGTCTCGTTTTTTTCTCAGATGTCGTCGATAATGAGCAACAACGTCCCCAAGACGGCTGTGGATGACATGATTATCAACTTCGACTACGACAACAACGACAGGAAGCAGTTCTTCCTCCCAGGAGAGCTGATGAAGGGCACTGTTCTGTTGCACCTGCGTTCCGGAATCCGTGTCAACAGAATTGTCATGATACTCAAAGGCATGGCCAACGTGTCATGGGAGATCCCAGAACGAAAGAAGACCTACACGTCTAACGAGGTCTACATAGACATATCGAAGTCTCTTCTGGACGGGGTCTTCAAAAGCCTAAACCTTGGGAGAGGGACTCACGAGTTCACGTTCAACCACCCATTGCCAGAGTCCCTTCCATCCTCCTTTCGAGGGGTGTACGGTAGCGTGACGTATGTTATGAAGGTGGAGTTGGAGGCAACGAACCCCATTCACAACACCGTCACAAGTCAGCCGTTCTTTGTCTTCCGTCGGCCACCGTTATCCAGAGAAACCTACCTTCCTAAAGAGCTCCAGAACAGCAAGAGGTTTCTCAGCTGTTGCAACTTCGGCAAGGTGAAGATATCTTCAGCGTTAACAAGATGGGGAGGCGTGCCAGGAGAGAATCTCTTGGTTAACGCTCAGGTAATGAACTGGAGCGACAGGGACATCCTTCGCATCTTCGCCTCCATCGTCATGACCAGCGTCTACCACGTCAAGGACAAGAAGATTACCTTCAGGGGAAATTATAAGTCAACGGGATGATGAATACGGCTTCAACAACCGCCATGGTCGTCGATGGCGTGCGGTGAAGCTGCCAATACCGCCCTACATCGCCGACACCGACCTCGTCGGCTGCAACATCATGGACGTCACCTACAGTTTTCAGTTCATGGTTGAGCTGGAGGACTACAACATCGATGTGGAAGGTCCAGTAGTCATCGGGGGCACCCATGGGGTACGGCCCGATGTCTGACGCCATCAGTCTTGCGACCGGCGTCCGAGATCCGAGATTTCCCAAACTACGGTCGTAACGGACGCAGCGTCGATGATTTTAGCGAGGATATTTTCTTCGACAGGTGAAGATTGAAAATATTTTCAGACTTCAGAAATTGATTGATGTGCCTAACGAAACGAAAGTGTTGAAGGAGAACTTCCGGATACGTGTAGACAATTACCAACGATCGAGCTCTTCAGAAATAGACAATATATACATAATTATACTTCTCGATGCCAGTCACTCTCACGACATTCCCGAATAAGGATGGATATTTTGTGCAATTTGTGGACAAAAGCCTCTTGTGACAAGGGCTAGACAAAGGATTACAGATGTGTCTTATCTGCCCACGTGTTCAGTGCAATAGAGCACACATGAGATCATTAGCAGATACATAAGTGTGTTCTACATGTATGCCTATCGCTTCAAGCATGCAAGCAAGAAAGTTTACTTCCGAAAAATGACCATTTATTTATTTTCAAATCTGTCATTTATGCATGCCCATGGGTTTCGAGGATGGACTCGGGAATCTCTGATTTGTCGTTTAACGCCGCAGTCAGCAATATTCCAGCTATATGGTGGCGTTCTGTAAATAATTGAGTCTGAACCAGACAATCCAGTGAGAGCCTCTGATAAGCAAGGATCCTAGATTCGTGTTGCAGTGATATGCCTGGACAACGTCACGTGACGTATAAACATGTTCAGGGAAACTACCCGTGTGAAAACAATTACCATCCTCGATCTTCAAGGGTATTTATTATTCTATTACGATAACTACCCTTGGGCCGTTCGCTGCATAAGTTTCGATTCGGAACTGTCTCCATAGCAATCTGTTACAATCAACATTGCCCAGGGCGTCTCTCACATGGGAGTAATTTGTTTTGACAGGTATTTCCAAAGCGCCATGTAAGTTTAATCAGGCCGAAACGAAGCTATTGTAACGAATCAAGACGAGGATATATATCATAACAGAATAGAACTAGGAGTGATCAGGTATGCGTGATCAGGTATTGGTGTTGTTTCGGGCAAGCTATGTTCTCGTGTATATATATTTAGAATATGTTAATAATAGAATATATTATACAACTTCTAGCAAAGGTTAACGGAGGCTCTTTATCAGATATTTGGAGGTAATTGACTTAGATTGGTCACACAAACCCCACAGTGAACAATTGCAAGATACTATCAACGTTTAAAGTTTTCACACAATATGGGCTGCGATAGATCGTCACTTCAGCGATTGATTCAGTGTTTAGTGTGTACGCGGTGTCGCGTCTTGACGATAATGTTTATTTATATATTTATAGAATGATTGCCATATATGTATGATTATGTATCTGTATGTCTGTAGCTGATAAGTTATTATAGCCCATCTATTTATTTTTGCAGTGGAGGGGAGGGAATGAACGGGCAGCTAAGTATGCCGAAATGGGAAGAGAGAGGGAATCTGGTGTTGGGTGGTGAGGGGATTTGGGGTGGTTGTGAGGGCGGGGTGGGGTTGGTGTATTTTCGACGTTGTTGATCTTCACACATTTGTAAATAGTGGATATGTAATTAAACAGTCATAACATGATGATTATGATTAATATGATTCTGGTATTTCTGTATTTCACGTTGCCAGCACACGTGTTAACCAGAGCGCGAGTACACTGAACACTGCGTTACACACAGGTGTATCTGCAATAGTTAGACACTGCCCTGACTCGACTATCAGTGTCATATTTTTACACTCTCTGGGTAATTGAGGTTTGACGAAAAAGACCACGTATTTACCTACTGATATCTTTGAATTTGTATTTTGCTCCAAATTAAACTCAAAGTGTTTTAATTTCTATTTTTCTTGTCAGAAATATCGCAAATAAGTTTTATTATACAGTTATACAGCAGTTGGGATGTCAGGTATATCCCCTCCGATTGACGTACAATAATATTATCACTGAGTAATGTATCTACCGATTTTCAGTTATCCTCGAGTTGTTAAATACACTCTGTAATATATACATACACTTCAAATTATAGAAAATAAACACATTATCTATAAATATATAATATATAAGCTATTTATACACACCACACTGGCACACTTTGAACGTCAGTTATCAATAGTATTACATTAAAATGTCTATACTGCCCAACATTTGGTATGGAGCGAAATGGTCTTTAATAGTTGGTCCTTAGCAAACGTTGAGTAGTGTATATATGTTGTTTATTACAGTCAAGTTTCCTTAACAATATGGGGCGATGGGGTAGCCTAGTGGTTAAAGCGTTCGCTCGTCACGCCGAAGACCAGGTTCGATTCCCATATGGGTACAATGTGTGAAGCCCATTTCTGGTGTCCCCAGCCGTGATATTGCTGGAATATTGCTAAAACGGCGTAAAACTAAACTCACTCACTCCTTTACACTAGTATAAATCAATTTCGTTCCATATACATAATATATACACAATACACCTGACTGATCTCACCGCTTTTAGCAATATTCCAGCAATATCACGACGGGGACACCAGAAATATGTTCCACACATTGTGCCCATGTGGGGAATCGAACCAGCGTCTTTGGCGTTACGAGCGAACGCTTTAACCACTAGGCTATCTCCACTGCCCCTCACCTGACAGACCCACCTGACCCACCCAGGTGACTGTGAAATGAGAAAGGGTGAGACTTCCGATCGTTCCAGCCCCTTAAATGATAATATATTTATATGTTACATTTATAATTAAAAATATATGCATATCAGAAAGCAAAGTGAATTAGGTATGAATTAATCCTGACCTTGTTCACCCCAAAAGGTAATAGGTCCGATGGGAATTCTTTCCCTTGTAACGCAGATTATTATAGTAATAGACTTACTTGCTTACTGGCTTACTGACTGGTGGCTTACCACACATGGTGCAGTGATGGGCGTGATGCGGGTCTCTCTGCCGTCACCATTGGGTGTTTTATTGACGAACCCAGACGGCTGACGACGCATGGGGATACGTATATCTTGAAATCGTGAGATCTATACAGGCTGGGAAAGCCCGTGCATTAAAAGCACATTTACATCATATTCGCACGAGCTCTCGCGGGAGACATCTCACCAACCTCTATTATCAAAAATACACGCAAGGCTCCAAAATACAACCAATTTTGTGTATTCTAACTGAATCTTTTCATTTAGTTATTCGATATTATCTGTGTATAATAAATATATTTAACGTTTCCATGAAGATTACAATACATTATTTTCTGAAACTTATTTGTCACAAGGACATTATTTGTTATTCAATTTTTTTTTTTAAGCCCAAGGAGTTTATTTGTGTGATTGTCACGTAGCCCAGAATAGCTATTTTCCACTATTGCTCTCCGTTGAATCGTTGGTGTCCCTCCAACCACAGTGTCGACGAAACCAATCTCACTCTCTCACTCACTCACTCACTCTCACTCACTCACTCACTCACTCACTCACTCACTCACTCACACACACACACACACACACACACACACACACACACACACACACACACACACACACACACACACACACACACACACACACACACTATGTGTAGATCCCGCAGTGTTGAAAAGCTATTTATGCTATAAATGAAACTGAAAAAACAACACTTGGCCTTAGGTCTTATAAAACGGACACAGACAAATTAACCTCAAAAACAACATGAAACAAACAAAATATAAAAAGAACACCAACAGAACAACAACAACATAACAACAGCATCGACAACGATGAACAAATTCAATATGTTGTATAACAAATACGTTGTTTTGGTTTCAAGTTTGCAAAATGCGACGTTCGAAATTCAGGGCGGTAGGATAGCCAAGTGAGTACAAGCGCCTACCCAACATGCTTCGAGCAAGGTTCGAGAGCCCCAGCATGGTTCATAATATGTGAACCCAGTTTGAGTCTCGGGGCGGTGGGGTAGCCTAGTGGTTAAAGCGTTCGCTCGTCACGCCGAAGACCGGGTTCGATTCCCCACATGGTACAATGTGTGAAGCCCATTTCTGATGTCCCCGCAATTGGTATTGCTGGAATATTGCTAAAGCGGCGTAAAAACTCACTCACTCATTCAGGAGTGTCTCACTCACTCATTCATGACTGTCTCCGCTTTTATCAACATTTCAGCATTATCATGGCGTGGGACACAAGAAATGGGCTTCCTATGTACCTATGTGGGGAATCGAACCCGGCGATCTTCAACGTAACGAGCGAACGTTTCAACCATTAGGCTACCCTTCGCCCTCTGCTGGTGAAGGAAGATAACCAGACTTAAAGTCGCGCTCGAAACAGTACTACAGTAAACTATGTTTATAACGAACATGCTTATAACGAACTGACGGATATAACGAACTGTTTAATTTGGTTCCGACCACTTGCTTGTTGAATCGAAATGCGTATAACGAACTACTGTCATAACAACCAAAATCAGTGGTCCCTTTGAGTTTGTTATCGTCCGGTTTACTGTACGTATGACCCGTGCCATCGGTTCCCAGTTGCTTAGATCGATGCTCATGTTGTTTATCACTGGATTGTCTGGTCCAGATTTGATTATTGACAGACCGTCGCCATATAGCTGGAATATTGTTGAGTGCGGCGTAACGCTAAACTCACTCAACCACTGTACGTATGGTGAGTGAGTTTAGTTTTACGCCGCTTTTCCCGCAATATTCCAGGAATATCAGGCGGGGACACCAACTATGGGCTTCACACATTGTACCCATGTCGGGAATCAGACCCGGGTCTTCGGTGTGACGAGCGAACGCTTTAACCATCAGGCTTACCCACCGCTCCCCGCGGTACGTATGACATGGCTCGCATCAAATGTCCTTTAACTATCATACAACTGAAGATAAAAAACGTTCATTTTTCTAAATTCTTTGTATCCGTAATTTGGTGATAACCGTACATCCAAGATATTTTACTTACAGCACAGTGGACCTATCTGCACGGATACCCGACCACACCCGATTACACAGTGTAATTGAGGGCCACGTAGAACTTGTTTACATGTCATTTTCTTTATCATACATGTGTGTTCTCTCACGCGAAACCCACCCAGTCACCAGACGGGTAATGACGCGCAGAACAGTCACCAAAATAACGTTTGATAATAACGTCGACAAAGGCATGTAAGTAACAGGTGCGACTCCCACAGGGTACGATGATAGCCTCCCGTCTCCAGAGCCACCCACCCGCAAAACCTGGGTCACGCTGTAGAGCAACAGTAATAGCTTTGGTACACTCTCACCCAACGGAGGTGACGGAGGGGCATATCAGCG